ACTATCGAGCCATTAAGTCCATCTGGGTGACCCATTTTCTCTGTGTCTTCTGGAATGGGTATAGACTAAGACTCCTTGATGAGTCTGTGGATACTCAGAGTAGAAAAGATATGTAGACAGCTATATATCTGAAGCTGTGACAAGTGGCTTTAGTGGCATCTGAGACAGGCACAAAGTCCCCTCTGCCACTTGGGCCCTCAGAACTTTCATGTTGCCACCAATGCCCAAAAGCACTCTTTTCTCAAGGTCATTTTGAATACAGTTAATCAGAAATATACAAGTCAACTACTCAATCTATTAATTTATATAAGAAAGAAACTTTTGACCCTGAGTCCATGATGCTTATTAAAATCCTTTCATCAAATTTTAGACAGTAAAGTCTAACCATTTACACTTTTTTCCTTTATCTTGGGTACTGGGGTTTGAACCTGGCATGCTAAGCAAGCTGTCTACCACTGTATCAGTTCCTTTTCTGCTGCTATGACAAAAAAGTGACTCACAAAAAGAGTTTAAGGAAGCAGGAGTTCATTTTGATGGTTTGAGAACGGAAAGGTCCACCCTGGCAGTAGGACATGAGGTGGCTTGTCACACTGTCCACATTCAGGAAGTGGTGAGCAGATGGGAAGTAGGACCAGGCTATAAAGCCTCAAGGCCTGCCTCCAGTGACCTACTTCCTCTAGTGAACTCTACCTCTTAAAGGTTCTACCACCTTTCAAAACAGTTCCACATGCAGGATACCAAGTGTTCAGACTCGTGAACCTGTGGGAGCACAGTTCACATTCAAACCACAACCACTGAGCTTATATCCTCAGCCCCAAGAGTCTACATTTTTATTTCAGTGACATTGTTTTCATTGTTTTTTTTGCCCTGGATATTTTCAAAGTCCTTTAGTCTGGTTTCTGTTGATGTGATTGAATGCCATGGTTTAGGTGACTGGTAAGGAACTGGTAAGGTTCAGGGCTAGAGAGATGCTTGTAATCCCAGTGCTGGGCAGGGGAGACAGGAGGATCTTTGGGGCTTGCTGGGCAGTTGGCCTAGATGAGTCAGTGCGTCCCAACCAGTGGGACACCCTGTCTCAGAGAAACAATATGGGTGGTTCGTGAGAAATTACACATTATATTGACTTCTAGCCTCCAAATACACATACATCCATGTACACCAGCACACACAGAAATATGCACACACCAAAAAGAAAATAGAAGTTTATCTGGCTTCCAGTTATAGGGGTTGAAAAGTCCAAAAATATGGCACCAGCACCTGGGGAGGGCTTCCAGTTGTGTAACAATACAACAGAAGGCATTGCAGGGAGACCAGGGACAATGATGATATCTTGGCTCTGTCTTCTGCTTCTTATGAAGCCACTAATTCCATCCTGGTGGCCCCACCTTCATGACCTCATCTAGTCTCAATAACCTCCTGACGTCATCCACACACATGAATTAAGGGCTAAGCTATCAATGCGTGAACTGTGAAGGTCACATTCAAACCAAAGCCCACAGTGAATTAGATCCATCATAGTGTGTTTGTCCCATATCATACAAATTATAGCATTTGCCATCCTGAAACATCCTAGTTTGCTTCATTTTCCTAAGTCAAGTTTTATCATTAATCATCTGGGTAGACTAAAACATGTCATAAGGGTCAAAATAGCCAGATGATAATGATAATAAAAGTGGAATCATACTCTACCAGCAATGTAAATTGAACATCTAGATTTTGGCTTGGTATTGCAGGAGGCAAGATTTTTAAGAAATGCAGTATTCTAGGGAGGATAAACTATCAATCCAAATATGGAGCCGGGAAATGTTCATGATATGGTTGCATGCATGTGTGGGCGGGTACACGTGCACATGTGTGCATGTATGTCTGGAGGCCAAAAGTCAACGCCAGGCATCATTCCTTGGATGCCATCCACTTTGCTTTCTGAGACAGGGTCCCTTCATTGGCATGAAGTTAGTCAGTTAGATCAGGGTGGCTCTCCAGCAAGCCCTGGAGATCTGTCAGTCTTTTCCTCCCCAGTGCTAGGATCAAGAGCATGCATTACCGTGCCTTGCTTTTTTGCATTCTGGGGATCAAACTCAGGTCTTCATGCTAGGGTGACAAGTACAATGTCAAACAAGCCACCCATCCAGCCCTGTTTTCTTAACTTTTTATTAATTATAGGCTCACAAGAAGTTGTCAACTAGTTTGTGAATTAGCCTGCCATCTACCTGTCTCTACAGGTGCCAATGCCCAGGTAGTGTACTCACTGACGGACTCTGTTGATGGCCAGTTCTCCATCGATGCAACCTCAGGGGTGATTCGTCTGGAGAAACCTCTGCAGGTCAGATCAAACTCAGCTGTGGAGCTCACGGTCCAGGCCTCAGACCTAGGCATCCCAATACCACTGTCCACCTTGGGCACTGTCACAGTCTCCGTGGTGGGCCTGGAGGACTACCTTCCCATCTTTCTGAACGCAGAGCATAGCACACAGGTTCCCGAGGATGCTCTAATAGACACAGAGGTACTACATCTGGCTACCCTCACACGTCCGGGCTCAGAGAAGACTGGTTACCACATCACAAGTGGGAATGAGCAGGGAAAGTTCCGACTGGATGCTCACACAGGTGAGATGGGCAGGAGCCAGTTCAGCCCTTCATTCATAGGTTATAAGAGTTTTTAATGTACAGGCAGCATCTGTCCACATACTCTCCAACCCCTGCAGCTGGCATCCTTTAATTATATATACATTGTCCAAATTTCTTCATAGACCCGTAAGATGGGCCCTTTTTCCATGTGGGCCTAGATTATCTGAGAGGGTCATTATTTCCCCATATCTTCACCTAGAACTCTGTCCAGGATCTTCCATGTTCCATTCAATCCAGTTGGTGGCTTCCTTGGTCTCAGCACAGCCCAGGGGGCTTGGCATGCCTCACTCCTTCCCTGAACCAAACATTTGCTGAAATTCAGTGTTCAAGTAGTGTGGAACTTGCTGCCTATCTTAAAACCACCCCTGTGCCCAGCCAAATTCCTGACACCCCTGAATTTTCCATTATGATAATGAGGAAAGACAGAATAAGGAAACCATCTCTCTTTTCTCCTCCTAGCTATGGAGCCTGAGTCAAACCCACAGGGACTCATGGAAGGATCTCACTGCATCTCATGCAGAGTCCTCCCAGGCACCCCAGTGCACTGGAGCTAGCTCCCAGCCCCTCAAAACTCTGCCTCATGGTTCCAGCTGCCTCACCTTCATCATTTCTTCTCTCCTCAGGAATCCTATATGTCAACGGGAGCCTGGACTTTGAGACAACTCCCAAGTACTTCCTGTCCATCGAATGCAGCCGGAAGAGCTCTTCCTCCCTCAGTGACGTGACCACCATAGTGGTTAATGTCACCGATGTTAATGAACACCACCCCAGATTCACCCATGACCTGTACACTGTGAGGGTCTTAGAGAACGCCGTTGTGGGTGACACCATCTTGACTGTAAGAAACCCCAGCTTTACTCTTTGTGGGGTGTGGGCTCTGGGTGGCTCTTCCCTCACTCCCCTATGGGTCCCCTAGTCACCATAAGTATAGATTGGTTTATCAAGCCAATGTTCTACAGCACATAACTTGTAACTTCTCAGCAAAACTGTGTCACATGTAAGTGTCTGAGACATTTAGTAAGGACACTGGATTGGCAATATTCAATAGGAGAACAAAAAGAGGTCTGCTCGATTCCCATGATGGTGACATGGAGTGCCAGTAGATGGGAGCTAGGGACAGAGGGCATACCACATCATACTTCTTTGCATTTAAATTCACAGTTGCTCCCTCCTTCCATGAAGCATGCTCATATTTAGTTCTTCAGGACTCCTCTCCATCTCCCTTATGGTCTCTCCTGCCTCCATATGCATCCTGTGCCCCAAATGCAAATCAAGAATTGCCTTTCTGAACACACCTTCACACTTCCTTGTGCATACCATTTCCTCTGCCTGGAGGGCTCTTCTATGACCAGATCCTCCCTCATCCATCAAAGCTCTCTGAATCCTCTTATAACCTTCCTGGATGTCTCCCCACTCTGTACTCCCATGAAAACCACCACGATTCAACACAACATCAGACACAACACTTAATAAGGGTGGATCATTGCACATGTTCCTCATATCCTGGTCTCCTGGAACCAACCCTGGTATACCCTGCCACTGTGAGAGAAGTGATAAATAAGTGATCCATGGAATTCTAAGATCACAAGAGATCCTCTTGGGGTGGGGGCTACTGACTCAGTGGCAGCCATTGGGATATGGACACAGCCATCACTCTCGGGGCTAAGATTCCTTTCTGGTCACTCTTGTGACTGCATTCACAATCCCCCCTCTGCTACAGGTATCAGCATTTGATGAGGATGGACCTATAAATAATGCCATCACCTATAGCCTGGTAGGAGGGAACCAGCTTGGACACTTCACTATCAACCCCAAGAAGGGGAAGCTTCAGGTGGCCAAAGCGCTGGACTGGGAACAGGTGAGCCATGTCCAGGTTGAGCAGAAACATGGCTCTGTGGCAAGTCCAGAGGGTAAAGGGCAACCACACCCCATTCTGATGTCCAGACAGGCCCAAGATGATTTCTCTGTGAACTCTGAGGCAAGAGGCAGGTTGACAAGGGATCAATCCAGTGACAGCTAACATGAACTGAGATCAGTTACTGGCATCAGGCACTTTGCTGGATGTCTTAGGTGAATCTCACCATTTGATGCCCACAGTCATCCAAGTATGACCTGACTTTACCCTCTCCCACAACTCAGTCCCCTTCCCAAGGCCTCATAGTGAGAAGCTACTGGGTTGCAAATCACTCTCTTTCTATCTAATTCTGACACCTGAATGCCAGTGCTATGGGTGGGCCTTGGGAGGAAGCAATACATCAAGGGGCAGACACTAGGCTTTATCTTAATTCCCTACTGTGCATTTTGCCACAGACACCCAGCTACTCCCTGAAGCTCCGAGCCACAGACAGTGGACAGCCCCCAATGCACAAAGACACAGAAGTGGCTGTTGAGGTGGTTGATGTCAATGACAACCCACCCAGGTTCTTCCAGCTCAACTACAGCACTGCTGTCCAGGTAAGGGCATCCTGAGCCCACCCTCCTCTTGTGTCCCTCCCAATGGGTGGGGCTTCCCAGGGTTATCAGCTCACCCAATGAGCTGTGATTTTTTTTCCCCTCTGCTGTCCCTAAAGGCAACACAGAGAACCAAAGGGGGCTGTGGGTTATGGGACAGAAAAGAAACGGGCCTCTTGTTAGATTTTTTTTTATAGGACCACTATCCTGTCCTATTTGAGGTTCACGGTGGCCATTGAAGTAGGTAGTATCCAACTCAGAGATTTCAAACATGAAGGTACATGGGGGAAGAAATGAGACATAGTGCATGTTAACTCTCATATGTGAATCTAGCTTTAAATATGTACATATATGTAGATTTGTGCATATATATATTCACACACATGTAATGAAAACAGAAAGGAGACTATTTGGGGAGGAGGAAGACCTATGAGATGGAGAAGGAAGGACTAGAAGGGTCTGAGGATGTGTGTAAAAATAAAGTAAAATTATGTGTGTGTGTGCACATGCATATATATGCACATACATAAAATGTCATAATGAAACCCATTATTTTGTTTTCTAACTAAAAAAATAATGATTAAAAATGGAAGTGCTTCCACCATGCACCCACCGACACTAAGAACTTGCAATCTGTGAACTGTGGGGTCAGTCAATGGCCTCCACTATTGGATATGGGTTTGACCTTCAGTATCTAAGACCTGGGACTGTACTCAAGGACATGGAGGGAAGACTACCAGGCTAGCTTTCAGCCTGCTCCCAGTCTGTGGGCAGAGATAAGGACTGGTTCCCTGGAAGATTGGACCACAAAGGAGGGATCTGAGGGGCTGTGGCTTACATTGCTCTCTGGCTTCCTGTCATTCTCGGTCACAGGAGAACTCCCCTATTGGCAACAAAGTCCTGCAGCTGATCCTGGATGATCCTGACTCCCCACAGAATGGGCCCCCCTACCCCTGTGGGATCACTGGGGGGAACACTGGGTCTGTGTTCCGGGTGACTCCAGATGGATGGCTGGTGACAGCTGCAGCCCTGAGCAGGAGAGTGAAGGAGTGGTATCAGCTTCACATTGAGGTAAGTGCTGTCTGTGTGCTTCCAAGCTAGTGTGTATGGTGATAGCCTTGGGGACAGGATGCCTGCTGGTAGACACACTGGTGGTGCTTCTGCTGTGAGGAGAAAGTGTGTGGAGTGTTATGTAACTGGCAGTGGGCTAGGGACTTCACACTGAATTTGGCATGAATCCTCATCTCCTGTGTGTGTGTGTGTGTGTGTGTGTGTGTGTGTGTGTGTGTGTGTGTGTGTGTGTGTGTCTGTGTGTCTGTGAGAGAGAGAGAGCGAGAGAGAGAGAGGCAGACAGACAGACACATTTGTGTGTCTGTGTGTGCATGTGTATACGTATCTGTCTGTGTGTATGTGCATGTGTATATGTGTATATGTGTGTGTACATGTGCTTAACTATCCGTGTGTGTACATGCATTTGGAGGCCTGAGGACATCCTTAGCATGGGATGTGAAGGGATGGCTCCTTTTCTTGTGGGTGCTCCATTCTGAGTATGAAGATAAACAATGATAAGTAAGTAACTAAGGTAATGAGGGACTCAAGGCAGAGTGCACACATATTTGTCACACAGGTGATGTCTGAGTGGAGACCTGAGGGGGCTTGGGGGGGAGGAAGGGAAAAAAAAAAAAGGAGGGGGTTTGGGAAATTTTTTCAGGGGGCCTGGTTTTAAAAAAAAAAAAAAAACAGGAAGTGACATCAGTAAGGAAATTGAAGCATAGATAAGGCTGGTCAGTCATGGTGGGGCTGGAAGATCGTTCATTTTATGGGTGACTGATAGCTGAGGTCCAAACTGTGGTATATTGTGCGACAGAAGCGCTATCTGGTTCAACTGGCTACTATAGCAGAATGCTACAGACTGGACAGACAGAAATCAGACCTGTTACAGTTCTGGGAGCCGAAGGCCAAGGTCAGAATGAAGCTGTGTGCAGATCCTGATGAGGGACTTCTTCCTAAAATTGCAGGAAGACAGGAAGCAGGTGCCAACCGCTTATAAGGGCACTGCTGTCCCTTCAGTCATAGTACATTATATACCTGTAATACTAGTACTAGGGGTGCTGAGGCAGGAGGATTATAAATGTGAGGTCAATCTGGGCTACAAATGGAGTTCCAGGGCAGTGTGAGCTACATGTCTAGACCATGTTTTAAAACAAAGCAAAGGAGTTGTAAAGCCGGGCGTTGGTGGCACACGCCTTTAATCCCAGCACTCGGGAGGCAGAGACAGGCGCATCTCTGTGAGTTCAAGGCCAGCCTGGTCTCCAGAGCGAGTGTCAGGATAGGCTCCAAAGCTACACAGAGAAACCCTGTCTCAAAAAACCAAAAAAAAAAAAAAAAAAAAAAAAGGAAAAAAGAAAGAAGGAAAGAAAGAAAGAAAGAAAGAAAGAAAGAAAGAAAGGAAGAAAGAAAGGGGTTGTACACACCTGTAATTCCAAGACTGAGGCAGGAGAAGATTGCTAAGTCCTGAGGCCAACCTGAGCTATGTAGCCAGATGTTGTCTGGTAAAATTTAAAAAAGCTTTTTCTTTTAAGGGACTAATCATCTTCACAAAGGCCCCACAGCTATGCTCTTATATCCCAAAGGCCCCCCTTACAGACAATGGGGACTGTATTTTAACATTTGAATTTTGAATGGACAGAAACACTAAGCATCGGTGACAATTGATCCATAGCCGAGAACACTCTAAGCCAGCTTTGGCAAGCCAGGTCAAACAGTTACCCTAATTTTTTTAAACATGTATTTATGTTTTGTTTAGCTCTCCTGGAACTGGAATCACAAGTGGTTATGAGCCTTCCATTGTGGGTGCTAAGAACAAAGCTTGGGTTAGCCACAAGAGCAGCAAGCGCTCTTAAGCCCCAAGTCATCTCTCCAGCCCCGATCTTCTCACTTAAGGAGGTCATGCTATCCTTGTTTAAAGCCTTCACTAGCTTTCCACAACTGTGGCGGGAGATCCAGCCTTATGCTCCTCAGTCCATTGTGGAGCCCATGCCAACATTCCCTACGTTTGCTCCAGTGCCTTCCTGTTTAATTGGGCATGCCATTTCTCCCACCCCTGCCATGCTCCTACCCCTGTAGAGATGCCTTCACTTTCACCTGACCTACGTCAGCCCCCTCACTTGACTTCTCCCGAGGTCTGTTATTTTCTTCACTTTGTCCAAGCCCATAGCCTCTTGCAGGCTTGATCACTCACCCTGCCTGTTCCCTGACTGCAGCAGAGGGCCCTCCACAGGAAGCTCTCATCTGGCCCAGAGAATGAGTTCCCATCCCACTCCTATCATGTAGGAAGGGAACCCCAGAGGGGCTCTCCCTCAGTGAGTAGCAGCCTTGGAAGGGGCTGCTGAAGAATGGTCAGAGGTGCCCCTGGCTTACCAGAGTCTAGGTTGGAGAGTGGAGAGAGGGCTCAGAGCTGGCTCGGTCAGCATATGCATGGACACAAATAAGCACAAACATGTGCTTGCTTAAACATGGAGGCTTGCTTGGAGGGACTTAGGAGGCTCAGGGCCCGTGAGGCTTGGGGGAGGAGGAATTGAGTTGTTTTACTGTTTCCCTATTTTCTATAAAAACCTTAAGAAACTCTCCAGCACACCCTTGGGCTTTGGAGTTGATCTTTTTCCAAGCAGGACAGCATGCAGCACTTGTCCCGCTGGGTATGGGGGAGGGAGACAAGGCTGGTAGGGGGAACAGCTTCAGCTGGTCATAGTGGGTACCAGCACTGTTTGTCTTACCCACAGGTGTCAGACAGTGGCCTCCCGCCCTTGTCATCTTCCACGATGGTGCAAGTACATGTGACAGAGCAGAGCCGCTACCCACCCTCCACACTTCCACTAGAGATCTTCATCACAGTGGGAGAGGAGGAATTCCAGGGCGGCATGGTAGGTAAAATCCATGCCACAGACCGAGACCCACAGGACACACTGACCTACAGCCTGGAGCGAGAGGAAACCCTCGGCAGGTACTTCTCGGTGGGGGCATCTGATGGCAAGATTATTGCATCCCAAGGACTGCCTCGTGGCCGATACTCACTTAATGTTACAGTCAGTGATGGCACCTTCACCACCACCACTGGGGTTCATGTCCATGTGTGGCACATAGGTCAGGAGGCTCCTCAGCAAGCTATGTGGCTGGGCTTTCACCAACTCACCCCTGAGGAGCTGGTGAGTGACCATTGGCGCAACCTGCAGAGATTGCTGAGCAATACCTTGGACATCAAACGAGCCAACATCCATCTGGCCAGCCTGCAACCTGCAGAGATCACAGCTGGGGTGGATGTGCTCCTGGTCTTTGAGGGACATTCCGGAACCTCCTATGACCTCCAGGAGCTGGCATCTGCCATAGTTCATTCAGCCAAAGAGATGGAACACTCAGTGGGAATTCAGATGAGGTCAGCCCTGCCTGTGGTACCATGCCAAGGACCAAGCTGCCAGGATCATACTTGCCAAGAGACAGTGTCCCTGGAGCCCAGGGTTGGGCCCACTTACAGCACAGCCAGGCTCAGCATCCTGACACCACGACACCACCTGGGGAGGAACTGTTCCTGCAATGGTAAGGCCTGGGGGTGTATTGCTGGATCCTGGCTTCCTACATCCATGTGAACTCCCACAGAAACTCACAAGCATGGCTATATCCAACTAAATGCCACAGACCAGCATAACACTGGGAGTGATGTCACAGTTTAGTCATGGGGCACCAACCAAGTTCCCAACACTACCTGGGATTTTGAAAGTAACCATCAATTACAAAAGACATAGTAGCTAAAAGCCTGGACAGGGGAGTCAGGCTGCCAGAGTTTATTCACATCTTTACCCTGCCACTTTCCAGCCAGATGACTGGAGGGGATTCTTTGATCTGTCTACCTCTGTGGGCTTTGCTATTGTAAGGATTGAGTTTAACGTATCAGGTACTCTTGGAGAAGAGCCTGACAGAGGAGATACTCCAGACATGTCAGTTACTGATGCCACTGCTGTCAACCCCACAGCCTGCTGGTATCAGCTCAAGAAATAGACCCAACATAGGTTCATACCCCAGCTCTGTCACTTACTAGTGGTGTGTCCTTGGTTGGGTTCTGTAAAGTCCACCAGACTCCTATTGCCAATCTATAAAGAGCACCCCTCACCTTAAGCTGGTTTGGGGAATAAATTTCATATAGATGTAATAGCATGTAGTCCATGGCTGGCCACAGTGAGCCCAAGATGGTGCTGGCTGTCACTCACATGAGAGCAGACGGTAGTAGAGAGAGCCTGCTATGTGCCAGACTCCATGTGGATCATCAGACCCTTCTGTGTTAAAGATGGGTGTTGTTTTGCCAGAAACTATCCAGCCTTCAATGGAGGCCAGGCTATTCAAGCACCAGTATGCCCTATTCAGAGCCTAAACTCCATACTAAGCAATCCAATATCCCAGGCAAGAAGACCCACATCCTGGGCCAGCTCACCTTTGTCAAATGGAAACTGACACAAACTGTGGAAATGGTTCAGTTGGTAAATTGCTCTCATTCAAGTATGGGAACCTGAGTCTAGATGTCTAGCTTCAAATACAGAAGCATGTACCTATAATCCCAGAACTAAGGAGGTGGAGACAGGAGGATCTCTGGGGCTCACTAGATCAGCCAGCAATAGGTTCAGCCAGAGCCACTGGGTTGAGAAACAAAGTGGAGAGCAATTGAAGAAGAGAGCTAATGTCGACCTCTGGCCCCCACATGCACAAACACCAACACACACACACACACACACACACACACACGTTCATGAAGTGACTTGGCCTGGTTTACCTTTGAGGTACCCACCCAGCTTGCATTGTGGAGACTGTGGCTCAGATTTAGAGGCTGATAGGGAACAGTGGGCCTAGGCTAGTGGGTGAGGAGTCAGTCCCCTCTCTGCATTTCTCCCCAAGGCCGCCTGCAGGGAAAGCTGGAATAGCTGAAGGCTCTCTCTGGACCATCTGGCAGCAGACAGCAGAGGTTCTAAAAGCCAGTCCTACTGTGCACAGCCCCAGGGAGAGTGTGCTCAAAGAGACTGCTCTGGGCGTGCTGCTAGAGTTTTCGTTGCAAAGCCTTGGGTGAGCCCTTCCTTTGGCATTCAACTGGAAGCACGTGGTCCCAGGGCTGCACTTTGAGAAACCCTAGCTGAGCTTGCCGATTGCCAGAATCACCGCAGGTAGGGTGTTTTGATAACATTTTAGAAAAATAGGACACGCAGAAAATTGGTTTATGCACCACATGCAAGCACCTCAATGTGTTTTCCAAAACCCAGTATGTCAGTGTAGCCTGAATCTCAGTCAGGCTTAGAATGTGACCAGTGTCTTGAAGCCTCCCTTAGGCTCCCTTCCACAACACCCACCATGGGAAGATTTTTTAAAATTCTGGCTGACCTTCAGCTGGCTGAGTAGCCAAGCATGACCCTGAACTCCTGATCCTCCTCCTCCCACCTTCTAAGTTCTGGGACTACAGGCATGTGCCACCATGCCCAGTTTTGTGTGCCAGGGATGGAACTCTGCAGGCACTCTACCAACTGAGCCACATTCCCAGCCCCACCTAGAGCATTTGAGTCAGACTGTGCAATAGGGGACTCTGGGATGCTGTTTTTAGTGAGTCCCCAGCCAATTCTAAAACCTGGCCACATTTGGGAGTTCTTGATCTGAATCAATTTCTGTCTCTCATCCAAAAACCACCACTACAATGGAAAGACCAGGTTGAGGGGTTTTAGACTTCGTGTGGTAGAATCTTTCTGTCTTGGGATTCCTTGTACTTTAAGATGCAGCCCCGCTTCCTTTATTTCTTCTCTCCTATAGTCCCTCCTCCCTGGGTATTGGGGGCCTATGCCATTCACTCTTTGCCCTGAGGATGAACAGGCAGCTGGGGGGACTAGGGGCATCATAGTTGAGTTCATGTCTAGGGAAGAAGGTGCTTACTCTGATGCCACATTTCCTAAAGCACACTGCTTCCAAAGACTGTCACCTAAGAGTGCATGGTGAGTACACAGCAATGACACACAGAGCATAGCAACCACCCTGGGAGGGCCTACGTGCCATAACAACCAGTTGACCAATCAACACAGTTGACACCTCCAAGCCTGGAGGCATACCAATCCTGAGCCTGTGCGTAACCCTAGACACTCCCCTTATGCTGCCCTATAAGATCTCTATGCAG